TATCGCAGAGAATAGTATCGAACTGGAAGAATCATCTGAAATCTGGGAATTAAATAGTAATTCTAATGAAACGTTTTCAACTTCTGCAAATAATCAATTGCTTAAAAAAAAAGAGACGACTAAATTACCTGAAAAACTTTCAGGTGAAGTTACTGACACCATCACTCAAAGTCCATCTTTACAGTTACCACTAACAGTACATAATGTTATTAAGAATAAAATACCAACCGTGTTAGAAAGAAGTTCACAGAATGTAACATCTTCTAAGCCAACACATTCAAAGCAAGATTTTGAAAATGAATCAAACAAGGCAAGTTCATTAATTCAAAGGAATAAAGAGAATGAGGATCTTGGTAATTTAGTAACAAGTCGTTTAAGTAATCAACAAGATGTTTTAANTCATTCAAAAAATTGGATCTACTTTTAACACAGTAGCAGAAAGACTGCATGAAACATCTACTTTGCCTGACAATTTATTTGACACAAATTATTTGGTTGGACGTATTGTTGTAGCACAGTTAAATAAAATGAGTGCAAAGTCAGCGAATAAGAAAAGAAAGCGAATAGTCAAGTGTCTATATAGCAGTGATAGCGACAGTAATTAAATTAAGCATTTTTTAACTTAAGTAAATTTAACACTGTGTGTATAAATTTGTTCTATTGGAATAACGATAATAAATAAAAATTATTACAAATTAAAAATAAATAATATGATTTTTATTTATATTTAATATATTACTATCTTCCAACAATTTACAGTATGTAATGCAGAAAAACAATGAAGATATAAATAAATACACTCATAATAACTTCATTATATATTACATGAAGGTACATTTTATGAAGATATCATTATTTAAATAATATGTCCATTATTTTATGAAATTAATTTTTTTTTGATTTAACTTGTTTGGATCATATATACATGGGTATTGTTTTATAAGAGTTAATAAAACCATGTCAGTCATCTTTGGTCAAGAAACTCATCATCATTTTCACTATTGTGAGATGATTTATTATTTTGATAATAATTATGTTCACTCATAATTTTAATCAGATTTAATACACCTTTTCAAAGATTTTCTTTTTCATTCACAGTATCGTCTCAAACTGAAATAAATTTACGCGGGTGAAAATAAAAATACATTTCACTTGGAATCGGGGTTAGGTTTAACGTTGATACAAGTATGTATCACGTCGCTTGTATCATATAACTTATCTTGTAGCATATATCACCGTTTCGTGCGGTCGGCTTAACAGTCGCGCATTCTATTCTATAACTCTATGCTATATAGAGTGTAACGTCCGGACTTATTTTGAAACACTAATAATATATTAGTATAGAACGGAGGCCGACTTGTCTGATTTCAGATATCACTAGGTTAAATATTTACCAGGTATAGATATTTTATCCCTATGTTACTAGATGTAAGTACGTGCGTATATGTATAATATATTCGCGCACGTTAAATATTATAATTAAAATTATAACGCCAAAGAAACGACGTGTCGTTAGAGAGCCTTAAAATCGAGGGATCAACTATAGACAAGAGAAACCGTAATCTCAATGCGATAAGGCACCCCGCTGCTAGCATAAACAGGAGCATGAAACCTAAATCCAAACACCACTCAGGACCGACGCGGCGATATCGACGCGGTGACATCATACCGTTGGAATGAATTTCTTCCATCTCCACGATTCCATCAGCCAACCAAAAAACGACTCTCAGCGACAAAGCAACGTATAAAAACGCGCGCATTCGTTGCGAAGACGATTGTTTTCTCATGATTAGCTTTTGATACTTGTGTACTTATATGGTTTGGAATATATTAGCCGTAAAATCCGACTGTGAAACAATTATTTTTATCTACCCCTCATTTCTCGAAAGTTGCAAAATCGAAATTGAAATCGCGGACCGCATCATCCCGCGCAGCGCCGGAACATCCGAGACCGAGCCAGGAGAACGAGCGGCTTTGATTTCTTACCAGATTCATCGATCGTTTCGCCAGACTCCGGAGACCCAGGGTAAACTCGATGAAAAGCAGAGTGACCTAGAAGCGGAACCATCACTCTGTTGACCGTCCACGTAAGTCATTGATTTTACTACTTTAAAATTTCCCTATATAGTTATCTATTGTGGACGTAACAGAAACTATAGAACAAATAACATTATACGACCCAGAAAGTGAGAAAATTTATGATGATAAAGTTTCTTCCGCGAAACTGGAATCGCTTTCGCTGGAATAATTCCTCAACATTTGCATGATGAACACTACTATAATCTTCGCCATATTTATAATATCTAAGACGTTTATAATTTGTTCTACTTATCACCATGCTAACGTTGATGGAACGAATGATTGCGACGTTGCGAGCGTGAGCGTTACGATCTTTATGTGAAACATACCCTTATGGCTTCTATTTACAGGGCGTGGCAACGCTTGCCGCGCGGCGGAAATTTGTAGGGTAACCAATCAACATGCCGTTTTCCGGCTAGAACTAGAAGTTTATTGGTTTCCGCGCGAACTTCCGCTGTACGGCAGCGTTGCCGGGTCCTGTGGGCAGAAGCCATTAGTAGCATACGGTGTGTTTTTCAAAGGATTTCTGAATATGGATGCTTTTGCATGCTGTGTAACTTGCATAAGCGTAACTTGCATCAACCAATCAAATCCGCCATGGTAATTCGTAATTAGGTAATTGAGACGATTTGATTGGCTGACCCAAGTTCCGCTTACACAAGTTACACCGCATGGGAAGGCCTGATGCATAATGCATACTGTATCATACTAACAGTGCATTCTATTTATCGCTCACAACAATTGCGAGCATTAACTTAACCTTGTTTTTCTTAAATGTTAAACATAGACAGAACAATGCGATCGTTGCAAGCGTTAAGTGGAAACTGCCTGGAGTGTTTCAGAACGCTAGTAGTTTGCTCACGGTGTGGATTCCTGAACGCAATCTAAGGTGACTCAATTTAAATGTCCATTTTCTATGGGTGCGTTCAAGGAGACGTTATTTATCACTTCCGCGCCATTCTATCTTTATTACTTTTTATATGTATAAGGATAGAATGATGCGGCAGCGCTAAATGACGTCTCCTTAAACGCACCTTATATAAATCGTTTTATACCCGTATCAGACTACGGATTGGAGATTGAGATTGAATTAAAAATTTTCCAATCAGTGCAAAGTTCACTAAATTTCACTAAATATAAGTTTAGTTAACTTTGCATTGATTAGTCAAATTCAATTCAATTTCAATCTCCAATTCATAGTCTAATACGGACTTTAATGTCTTCTGTCCACAGGACGCGGCAACGCTTGCCGCGCGACAAGAAACGACGGTAACCAATCAGCGTGTTTTTTTCCTGGAAAACTAAAAGTTTATTGGCTGCCGCGTCGTTTCTTGCCGCGCGGCAAGCATTTCCGCATTCTATGTGCAGAGGTCATAAAGCCCTAAAATTTGACTAATCAGTGCAAAGTTCATTAAGCTTCATTAAACTTTAGTTCAGTTAACTTTATACTGATTGGCGAATTCAATTCAATCTCAACCCCCAATCCGTTGTCTGATACAAGCTTAAATTCATCTTCATATACTGTACGGTTTATTTCATTGGCTATGGAGCAGCTGAAGATGAATTTAAGACGGCCTTAAATATAAGATCTGACTATGAATATTGGTCCTAATATAGCCGATATCTCGTCTCACCAGTATCGGTCTCCTTGCCGACGAATTGACTTTACGTTGCGTCCAGGTATTTGTTCATGCTTTAAGTACATTAGTAATTCTTCGTTCGAAAATACTTTTTTTTTTACTGAATATACATAATTTTGATTTTTAGATTCTTTATATAAAAAATAGGAATATATAGATTCATATATTCTTATTAAAATCTTATTAAAATCTAAGATGAAATCCTAAAATACTAAGCGTTTAATATTGTAACGTAATCTTAACAATCTTATGAAAGATATACTGTTATTTTTCACGACGATATTTTAACTGCAAGATCACTTTGTTCAACATGTCATCGATAAGACGTTTTGTATTGGCTCAATCGATACGACGAAATGGTTTATTGACTACAACATTTGCACACAGGTATGTTTACATTTTCTTATTTATTTCTTTATTATTTATTTCTCATTTATTTTTGGCCGTGTTTTCTTTATATTATTTACTATTTAATAATGATAACATGAGGTTTGTTTTCTATTTCTGAACTGACTGCATTAGTTTAAGAAGGCTACATTCTAATTTTTATTTCCAGTACTGAATATTTCGCACTTCTGCTAGAAGACGGTCACATCTCTGAAATTATCAAATTCGAGTTGTTGCCACGATCGTGTTAGGAATAGACAGTCACATCTCTGAAATTATCAAATTCGAGTTGTTGCTACGATTATGTCAGGAATGTTCTTAGCAGAGATGAAATTTCTAGTTTGCGTTACATATATTATAGATTTTTTAGCACTGGCAGTGAATATTTGAGTGTAGCCTTTTTGAACTAATGCATCCAGTTCAAGAATAGGAAACAAATCTAATGATAATTTAATAATAGTATAATTTTATTGGTTATTATATATATATTTATTTATTGGTTATAATATATATATATTTGATTTTATATTTTTTAATTATATTAGATCTATAACTCCTGGCACAAATTGCATTCAATCATTTAGGGGTAAGAAAGATGATAGTACTTTAAGCTCATCAGCTTCCTTGTTTCATCCTGTGCCTGTCAAGCCAAATCCAGATGATATAAATGTAGGTGCAGAATTGACCGGAGTTCTAAAGAAAACAGATCTTCTGAAAATATTAAATTCATTTGTACAGAAGACAGAGATCAAGGAATTATCTCAGCAATATGGATTAAACAGTATGTTTAAAATTCAATATAAATATTGATCATTGTTTTGATTAAGATATTAATTTTAGGTTTCCTTCAAGGACAAGCTTTCACAAATTTTAGACAATATTGTTTAGAAACACAAACATTGCCTGTGGATCTCCATATAGTATTAAGTGATATTCTTCAAGGAGCTGGAAATGTCACAGATATTTTTCCATATTTTTTACGCCATGCTAAACAGATGTTTCCACATATTGATTGTTTGGATGACCTTAAAAAGATTAGTGATCTACGATGTCCTGCTAACTGGTAAAATGTTATATATTTACATATTATTTTTTTGAAAAACAAATATTTGTTATATACATTTATATGTTACTATTATTTTAATTTTATATATGTATGAAAAAAATTTTTAACAGCTGATTTTATTATCAATGATTTCAGGTATCCTTTTGCAAGAGCAAAAAATAGGAAAATAATCTTTCATGCTGGACCAACAAACAGCGGGAAGACTTATCATGCCCTAGAGAGGTTTATCAATGCAAGAAGTGGAGTGTATTGTGGACCACTGAAATTATTGGTCGTGGAAGTGTTTCATAAATGTAATCAGAATGTTAGTACTGACTGTATATTTTTTAATTATTTTGTTATTAATTATATTGTCATATAATGATATGTTGCATTATGGTAACATATTTATTTCAGGGAACACCATGTGATTTGTTAACTGGAGAAGAACGGACATATGCCAAAGGACCCGATAATCCATCAAATCACTTATCTTGTTCTGTAGAGATGGTGAATTTACAAAGCAACTGTAAATATAATTGTTATATTTCATGATACAATGTTCATACACGAAAGTTGTACCGATATAAAATATGGTTTATTGTAGACGAAATAGCTGTAATTGACGAAATTCAATTAATGCGCGATCTTAGTAGAGGCTGGGCATGGACAAGAGCTCTCTTAGGAATACCTGCAGATGAAATACATCTATGTGGTGAAGCTGCTGCTATAGACTTGGTAAATGCTTTTTATCCATGTGTTATATATTGTAGTTAATTAGTGGCTTATTCGGTAATTATAAATTAATATAATAATTAACTCCCAATAATAAAAAATTATGTATATATAGGTAAAAGCTATATGCTTTTCAACAGGCGAAAATGTGGAAGTTCGCAGATATAAGAGATTAACACAATTGGAAATAGAGAATCAGGCGCTTGGTTCTCTAAATAACGTTCAACCGGGAGATTGTATAGTCTGTTTTAACAAGAATGATATATTTACTGTTTCGCGTTCTCTTGAGAGCAGAGGAATAGAGGTGGCAGTAATATATGGTAGTCTACCACCTGGTACAAAACTGGCACAAGCTGCAAAATTTAATGATCCTAAGAATTCTTGCAAGGTCTTGGTAGCAACCAATGCGATCGGAATGGGTTTAAACTTGTAAATTTCGTGTCATATATGTGTTACATTAAATTCAGTGTTGCACGTAATGCACATTTTAAAGTTCTAAAAGATATACATATTCACTATAGGAAATCATCGTCTAATATAAATTATATATATTTATAGGCACATTCGAAGAATTATATTTTATTCATTGATTCAACCAACAATTAATGAAAAAGGTGAAAAGGAAATGGATATTCTATCTGTGTCTGCTACTTTACAAATAGCAGGTCGTGCTGGACGTTATGGCACGATATGGACTACAGTAATATTTCCAACTTTTTCCATCATACTAACATCATTTGTGATTGGCATAATACTACAATACAAAAGTAAATTTGGTTATGTGATGTGTAAAAATACATTTTTCTTGCATGATAGGGCTATGTAACGACGTTTAAGCGAGAAGATTTGCCTACTTTAAAAAATCTACTAGATCAAACGCCAGAAATAATAACGCAAGCTGGTCTTCATCCAACAGCAGATCAAATCGAGTTATATGCTTATCACTTACCAAACTCATCGTTGTCTAATCTCATGGTGAGTTTTATAGAATCATTAAAAATTATTTGTACATAATGTACCATTCGTAATATTTTTTACATTTCAGGATATCTTCGTATCCTTGTGCACAGTCGATAATTCTCTTTACTTTATGTGCAATTTGGATGACTTTAAGTTCTTAGCTGATATGATACAGCATGTTCCTCTGCCTCTCCGAGCGAGATATGTGTTTTGTTGCGCACCGATTAACAAAAAATCACCATACGTATGCGCTATGTTTTTAAAGGTATAGTCAAGTTCTAGTTATATATATATATATATATATATTTAAAATATATATATTTTTATGATTTACAATTACAAAAAGTATTCCTTGCATTAAATTAGTAAAATTTATTTTATATTTTTTGAAATATAATTTTGCATTCAGATTTATAGTATAGATATATGTATACATGAACACACACACACACACACACACACACACACACACACACATTTATATACAATTTTATTATCATCATCATCACATTTTATCACTATATATATAATATAAAATGCAAAATATATATTCTAATATATTAATAATATATATTATAATATATTTCTAGTTTGCACGTCAATATAGTAAAAATGATGCAATAACATTCAGTTGGTTGTGTCAGCATATTGGATGGCCATTCACAACACCAAAAAATATCCTCGATCTCGTTCACCTGGAAGGTGTATTTGATGTTCTGGATCTTTACTTGTGGTTAAGGTAAATAAAATATAATTAACCCTTATTTTGGCATATCCTTATTCATCTTGTGTATGTGTGTATGTGTGTGCACACATACGTATAATTATTTTATATACATATGTACATATATACATACGTATATATGTGCGTATACATATTTATTTATTTTTTGTAGTTATCGTTTTATGGATTTATTTCCGGATGCTAAAATAGTACGTGACGTGCAGAAAGAACTCGATGCGCTAATTGAAGCAGGCATAATCAAACTAACAGTATTATTGTCAAATTCCGATGCAGGTAAGTGTGATTTTTACGTATACACAATATTAATGTTGTAATTTATATAAGCTGTCCCATGAAATTATTATATTACCGATGTCGTTTCAGATATAGTCTTAGCCAAAAATGAAGCACTTTTATATTTTAGAATATTTTTAACTAGAAAAGATTTAAACAAATTAAATACGAAGATAGGTAAATAAGATATCCATTTAATGTTTTCAATATTTGGTTGACTTTCTGTTCGCTTTTATCATCGTTGCTATCTTCGGCATATTTAACACTAAACGGCAGCATTGTTCCACGGTTCTGTCATCTCATTCTTGCTATAATGCATATTCAAGGATGGCATCCCACAGCATGTATTTTCCACGTAATGCATATCGCATAACCAATCACATCTTTCTATTCTTTTAGAAGTTCCAACAGAAATACCAAACGTCCCATTTCATTGGTTACACAGTTATATGTTATGTGGAAAATATATGCCATGAGATGCTAGCCTCAGGTATCATGAAATGCTGCGATTATTTATTTATTTATTTATTTTTCTTTATTAAGGACCATAAGTGTTCAATGGGATTGAAGTAAGGTGATTGGGCAGGCTAGTCCATAAGTTGAATTCTGTTTTCAGATATCTATCTCAGAATTTTCTTAGATTTATGCCATGGTGCATTCTTTTTGGAATATTATGACATCTATATCACTTTCACTAAAAATTCTGGCATATGACTGACGTAATTTGGCTTTAAAGATATAAATACAGCAATCAGTGTTGATTCTTCCCTCACATATGAATATTTTTTTCACTCCACTTGCTGTCATATAGCCGTATATCATAACGTTACTTCCTCTATAGTCGACAATAGGAACCACATTATCAGGGTGATATTTACCCCTAAATCTCCTATGTACAAATGTAGCACCAGGTGTTCAGAAAATCTGTAACGAGACATTGAAATCTATATTATTGAAAAAATGCTGTACACAATTAAAACTGCTTTTATATAGATAAGTAATTTTTAGTTATTGAGAAGTACAAAATGTTTCAAATTATGCTTACCTCAAAACTGGATTTGTCATATCATATAACTTTTGCCCAATTCTCCTTAATATAGTATATATAGTATCAGTATGTCCTTAGTATAGTCCTATATAGTGTCAGCGTGTCCATTCTAGACGAGACTTTCTATTTTTCTCTGTAAGTCAGGGCTTTTTCTTGGCCCAACAACCTCTTAGACCCGTTTTGGATCTCCTTATGGTTCGAGCAGATACAAAACTCATCTTACTTGGCGAGATCAGCAATAAACACAGATTTTTTCTATTTTTTAATAATTTTCGCAACAAAACCCCTTTCTCATGTTCGCCTTTTTTCTGCTTGATCATGATTTGCTGATTCATACCGATCTCCTTAAAATGTTTTATAGTCATTTGCACACACAATGCGAATATTTTACAATTTTTGTAATTTCTATTTGGGTCTATTCTTGTGACTATAAAAACATTTTTAAGCTTCGTTGATGCGCACTTGGTTCACTATTTTTGGGCATTTTCAGCGAAAAACATTCTAAACTTTACAAAACAACTAAAAAATGGCAGTATCACAAAAAATGTTGCTGTTGCAGTTGTCTGAAGTTAGACTCGTGATGTTTTAGCAAAAAAATTGATTTATGGTATTTGCTGTGAATTATCCTTTGTTTAAAGTACCCTTTAAACTTATGTATAACCTGTAACCAATAGGAAACAATATAGATAAAAGAATTCTAAATAAGTAAAAAAATATAGGTACTTCACACTTTTGGCCAAGACTATATAAATATATAGTATGAAGCGAAATGAAATTATATTAGATGTTTTAACTTTATATATCATTAATATGTACTTATGTGTATGCATGCAACTATAAAACAGAGTTGCATTTTTTAAATAGGTCTCCATGTTTTTTTTTTTTTAAGGTTTACTTAATAACAATTTTTCCTCAAAATATTTTAAAGAAAAATTATTAATTTAAGAAATGTTTTAAACTCCAAGTTGGCAAAATACAATTTATGTTTCAGCAGTATATATTGTTTGTTGTACTTACGTAAAAGATGTTCGAATGGTCTACTTTCATACTCTACATTTTTTTCGTTCTTGTTTACTAACATAATAATGGTAGATTGTATCATCATATAATAGATAACGATACGTGAGAATATCCGGAGGATTAACAAGGTATTCAAATAAAAAGTATAGAAACAATTAGACACGCTAAACCCAAAATTTTGCCAGCATGATTATTGAATTAACAGTTCTAAACTTCTTTTATAAAGATTTTTAAGGAACAAAATGTTACATCCAATCAATAATATTCGGGAAATTTAACATATTTCATCAGAAATATAAAAAATTGTTAAACGTCTAATTAAAAATGTAATTAAAATAAAATATCAAACCAGGAATAAGAAAATGTTTAAAGTATTTTAATCTATTCGAATATATCTTATTGAACTATATATCGTATTACGTAAGTTGAATAAATTCGATAATTATCGAATTATTTTGTAACATAAATACAATAAACAATATGTAGGAATATTGAAACACAAATTATATTTTCAATCCTCGAGTTTCAAAATATCTTTTAAACTAATAATTTTCCCTTAAGGCTCAGCTACTTTGCCGCAGAAAGTCGGAGTTGACAGAAAGTTGATAGCGTCTAATTGTGACGAAGAAATAACCGAGTATACCGAGTAGTTCCGAAAGTAACAAACGTTTAGGATAACGATAAAGCAGAACGTGGTTACTCAGAACTACTTACATGATAATGTACACATTATATATATCGCATCTCTTATAGCTCGATGCAATGTTGCTAGATATTTGACAGTCGTTATTGTCAAATGTTAACCCTTTGAGTACTGAATTATTTGAAAATTTTTATGCCCATGGAACGGATTTAATTTGTCGCTATATGGATTAATATATAAAAGTAATACATTTAACGCCCAAGTAAGCAGATGACGAGTCTCACTCGTCAAATGTACCCAAAGAGTTAAATGCGAAATTGCATTAGTGATGCGATTTCTCGTCCGAACTTGCTAGCGTATGCCCTTCCATTACGTATTAGGGGGACCGGAAAGTAATGTTGTTTTTTCACATTAAATTCAAACAGATAAATTTTTAACAAGTTTTAATTTTTAAACAATGATGTAATCACTCTCGTTATCAACAACCTTTTGCCATCTAATATGCAAATTTTCAATGCCAGATCGATAAGATTCAATTGGATTTTGAGCAAAATATCTGGGGAGGGCATTTTGGATATCATCTAAATTTTCAAATTTTTTGTCACGTAGAAAGTGTCGTAGCGATCGGAATAAATGGAAATCCGATGGTGAAATATCGGGCGAGTATGGTGGGTGAGGCAGTACCTCCCACCCCAATTAATTAATTTTTTCCAGGGTTCGTCTTGCGCAGTGCGGTCTTGCATTATCATGTTGCAGAATAACGCCTTTTCTGTTGACAATCGCTGAACACTTCAATTAAAAATTGATTTACTCAATCCAATTGTTCATAATAAAGGTCTGAATTCACATTTTGTCCAGGTTTCAGCATTTCAAAATGAATGATTCCGCGAATACTCCATCAAGCACATAAAAGCGCCTCTTTGGGATGTAAACCTGGCTTAGCAGTATTTTGTGGCGATTTATTCGGAGAGAGCTACTGCCTTTTGCGTTTTGGATTATCATACAGGACCCATTTTTCGTCTCCATTGATCAAGCGATCAGAAAACGCTTCTGTATTGCACCGTTGAAGCAATAAGTTGCATATGGTGAATCGGTTAGTTTTGTTTTTTTCGGACAGATTATGCGGGACCCAAACACTTGCTCTGCTTACTTTACCAATCTGTTGCAAATGTCCTTGGATAGTCGACCAAGGTTGGTTAAGAGTGTTTCACAGTTCCTCGATTGTCTGACACGGATTTGCTTCCACTTCCGCCCTTAACATGTCATTGTCTAAAGTTGTTGCTCTTCCTAATCGGTACAAGTAGGGAAAATCAAAATTACCGGATTTGAACTTAGAAAATCACCTTTGGAATTTACAAACTTTTAATGCACTTGGATAAACATCGCAAATGTTTTTGGTAGCAACTGTTGCGTTACTACCCTTGCGAAACTCAAAAAGCATACAATGCCGGATATGTAACTCTTCTGGTATTTGGCTGGCCATTTCACCATAAATTGCAAAAAAAAACTTAAGATTTAATTATTTACAAGTAAACAAGTCATTCTAACATTAAAATATCTTTGGCACGACTTTGAAGTACACAATGAGCTGATAAATGACAAACGAATATCGACATGCGCAGAAACGACGTTACTTTCCGGTCCCCCTAATACATAGGGACGTTTATGTCCGTCTATCCGTGCAACACATACACAGTGCGCGTTATACGGATAGACGGAGCATCTCTGATAGTGGAGGAGAAAATGCTAGCAAGCTCGGACTCAAAATCATATCTATGGGTCTTTCTTAAAATGTTAACGTATGTCATTGCACAACTATTTTACGATATGGCTATATTTGCGCAACAACATTTACGTACAATTTACATACAATTATTTCAATAATATGTGCTCTAATATGCATTCATTCTCTCCTGAGCTGAATTTTTTTCATTGACCGCTTTTATGACGCGTTTGCGTTCAACTTTTTCCATTTTTATTGTCTTTGTTTTTTTGAAATACACCTGAAAAAGATTTATTAACCACTTGCGCTGGTAAGAAATTCACAGACGCGTGTGCCAGAACGGTCCAGTGTAACTCGCTGGAGGCGTCACACAGTGTTCGATGTCTTAGAGAAATCGGAGAAAAACTTATACTTGATTTCTGCTTTCTTCCTCGTCATCAAATAATATTCTACGCCGATTTCGAAGTGGAAAAACAATTTCATCGAAATCACTATCACTCTCACCATTATCTTGTTTCCTTTTTCTACTTGTCGAAATAATATCGTTAACTCACTATCGCTTTTCATTTTAG